TTTTTTTTAAACAAAACTATGGTTTATTGTCTTCATTGACGTAGAAATATTAGAAATATTCAATAGGGGGTTATATTTTATTTTTAATTTTAAACCTAACACTACGAAAAAGTGTACGCGCAAAAGTCTGCGTACAGCAGTTTTCAACTTTGAGGAATGCAGGATTGTGCGATTTCCGTTAATTTTGTTGTCGCCGATCTACTTTAGAATGTCTAAAAATAGACATTACGCAGTTAAAATGAAACTCTTTCATTATAATAACGAGCATATTGCAACATGGAACAAAAAGGCAAGGAAATTTCTGTTGAGGAGTGGAAAATTATATTAAAAGGTTTTTTGGATGGAAAATCTTATAGAGAAATTGGTGCTTTAGTTGCTAGAACCCTCTCATCCATCCAAAGAGTGATAAATAACTACAACTCGGCTGGAAGTATCTTGCCAAAGGCTCGTTCTGGCCGTCCGCCTTTGCTTATAAACCGCGAGCAGAGGAATATTATCAAATCTATTCAGCTCAACCCAAGGACGACAGCTCACCAGGCAAAGCTGAAGGTCGAGGATAGATTTTCCAAAAGAGTTTCCGAAGATACTGTACGCCGGACCATAAAAAAGGCTGACTACCATAGCAGAGTCGCCCGCAAAAAACCTCTCATATCGGAAGTCAATAGACAAAAGCGCCTAACCTTTACTAATGAGTATATTTCCAAACACCAAGACTTCTGGAATAAGATTATATTTCCCGACGAAACTAAATTCTGCATATTTGGAATCAAGGGAAAGGTTTTGGTATGGAGGAAAAGCGGAGAAGCCTCAAATTAAGAAAATTTGGTTGGCACAGTAAAGCAAGGAGGAAGCGGAATAATGGTGTGGGGGTGTATGGCAGCAAGTGGCGTTGGAAAATTGGCATTTATCGAGTTAATAATGGATCAGAAAATCTATATTGACATATTAAACAACAATTTAGAAGAAAATGCTGAAAAATTAGGGCTCGAAAGTGAATGTTGGTTCCAACAAGACAACGACCCGAAGCATACGGCGCAGAATACCAAGCTTTGGCTGCTGTATAACGTCATAAATCAGCTGCGAACACCTCCCCAAAGTCCTGATCTAAGCCCAAATGAGCATTTTTGGGATCTTCTTGAGAGGAAAATCCGAAGACACACGATAACATCTAAAACAAGAAAGGAAAGCTAACTTCGGTCGGAGCCGAAGTTGATATACCCTTGCAGAATACTCTGTAAATTATATTCTCCAAAATTATTCATATAATGCATTCTTAATACTCATAAAAAATCCCAACTTCCTAACTTTACAAACACGAAAGTTATGGCATTTCCGATCAATCAGTTATATGGCAGCTATAGGATATAGTCGGCCGATCCTTATGAAATTTGGTAGGTCGGATTGATTGGCCAAATATAAAACCCATAGAAAATCCCAACTTCCTAACTTTACAAACACGAAAGTTATGGCATTTCCGATCAATCAGTTATATGGCAGCTATAGGATATAGTCGGCCGATCCTTATGAAATTTGGTGAGTCGAATTGATTGGCCAAATATAAAACCCATAGAAAATCTCAACTTCCTAACTTTACAAACTCGAAAGTTATGGCATTTCCGATCAATCAGTTATATGGCAGCTATAGGATATAGTCGGCCGATCCCGGCCGTTCCGACTTATATACTGCGTGCAAAGGAAAGAAGGGTGTGTGCAAAGTTTCAATTCGATAGCTTTAAAACTGAGAGACTAGTTTGCGTAGAAACAGACAGACGGACAGACGGACAGACGGACAGACAGACGGACAGACGGACAGACGGACAGACGGACATGGCTATATCAACTCAGGAGGTGATCCTGATCAAGAATATATATACTTTATAGGGTCGGAGACGTCTCCTTCACTGCGTTGCACACTTTTGACCAAAATTATAATACCCTCTGCAAGGGTATAAAATGCTCAAGAATGTGATTCTCGAGGAGTAGGGGAAAATAACTGCAAATGAGACAAAAAAAAAAGTGGATTCCATCCCGAGACGCCTTACGGAAGATTTGCAGAGAAAAGGATACCCTACCAGTTACTAAAAATAATATTATTTGTGTTTTAAACAGGTGTACGCAGACTTTTGCGGGTACATTTTTTGGTAGTGTTAAGTTTAAAATTAAAAATAAAATATAAAACACTGTTGAATAATTTAAAAAAAAATACGTCAATGAAGACAATAAATTATAATTATGTTTAAAAAAAAGAATGGGTTGAATATATGCATAAATGGCCGAACAGCTAGGGTTTAAAGTTAGATTTTGAAATTTTTTTGGGGTGTACGCAGAGATATGCGAGTGAGTGTATTTGCCTTCCGGATTAGCTAGCCTCGGCAACATCCCGTTCCTCTTATAAATCCATTTAATTACATTTACGTTTCGTATAATGAAATAGCCTATAACACTTAAAAATACTATGACATATACATATATTAGTACATATATATGTCTTTATTATTTAAGGTAAGGTTAAATATAAAAATAATATGCATTCAATACTAGAGACACATAGATGTTGTCAGACCGGGGACTTATCAGTATTGGCAATGTCCTCCATATCAAATTGTGCAAAAATAGTTTTTAGTTTGTTAAAAATATTTTCACCTGTCGATTTTTCGAAGTCCATCGATTTCAAGCCCAGAATAATGTCATACAATTTTAGGTCTTTTAAATTGCAATGTGACACCTAAAAAATTTCTGTTGACGTACTGATCTGTCCACATATCAATCGTTGCCGATACTCCTCCATTATCCACTGCTTCTTTTAGTTCCTTGGAGATCATTGTCCGCTTTTCTTCCGCATCTTTTTCCGCATTTCGGCTTAATGTCGTTGCGTCCGGCAGTAGGTCATCAATATAACGTTTGCCCATAAGCAGCACCAATTTGTATAAAGAATTTCGCCAGATTGCGAAATCCATTTCCGCTCACTGCGGAAAACGGGCGACAATCCTGAGCAACCCATTCGCTGCATTTCTCTATGGCTAATTTTTTGTCCAAGCTAGAAACTTGTTTTGCTTCTATGGGTTGTCTTAAAGACAAACAACATTTGTGTCTTGACAAATTTGAAGTTTGGCTAAGCCTAGTATCCAGATCGACAAACGATTACGCCAGCGTAAAAACTTTAATCTTTCCAGTGTGACCAAAAGTTTGAGAGTTCATCAGATTTAAGCGTGCTACGGTCGTACTGTCAATCAGCTGGGTTTGTTGACAAGCAGTTAAAATTCAAATATCGTATTTGCGGGAAAGAGCCTTTAAAAGATATTATCAAATACCTTGGCAAGACAAGTCTGCCGCTGTACAAAGAAATTAAAAAACAATACAATTTAAATTTAACAGTTGTTTTTTTTAATTTACTGATAATTATTTGCTAATTTAAAGTTCATAGCTCCTTTTTTATTGTGTTTTTTCGTACATTTTGGACCTAAAAACATTTTGCTCTGACAAGAGGCACCCCAGATAGTATTAATGTTATTTTGTCCTCACATGTAAACTCCTGCAATCGACTTTTGCGAGTAGTTGAGTTTTGGCCTCCATTTCTTATAATGTTCAGTGAGAAGCGCACGCCAAAAGATTAAATTTTTTAATCTTTTCGCTAGGGTTCACCCAAAGTTAATTTCCACAGACTGGCAACGCTATGAAATTTTCTGGTATTTTTTCGTCGATCAGGGGACCGACGTGAAAAAAAGGCCCGACGAAAAGTGAACGCCAGCTGTTTGCCTCTCGCTCTCTCTCATGACTGGCGTACGGTTTTTGTCGATCTGGATACTAGGCTTTAACAACAAACTTCAGCACTTTTCTGCATGTATTGCAAAAAATCCAGCCTTCAAGGACAGTTTGGTCTTCTTGGATAATTTCACATAATATTGCCAAATTACACTTTTGCCCTTGTGAGTTGGAGCTACGGTGTAATCGCCACGTTCTATTTTATTTTTTATTATTTCCGCCGTCATTATGTTTGCCTCCGCAACAAGTTCAACGATGCACTGAAGAACAAATCATGCAAAAGCATCATGGTGTTTAAAAAGCACTCAAGTGATTCTTGTGTGTTTTGCCTACTTCTAATAATCCCGCATTGTCTTTTTTGTTACTTGTGATTTTTTCCATCATTCGTTTTGAGTGCAAGTGCGACAAGCACACGTTGCTCAAAAATGAATGGGTGCAAGCACAAAAGATAACGGCACCTTGTATAAGCGAGAGCGTAATAATGCCGGCACTCATAGCACACATGCAATTTTTGATAAGTGTGTGTCTTTGTTTTGCTTAGCCGGGTGTGAGTGGCACCGGGACTCAAATTTTATTGGGTGTGATCATGATACAATATTTTATCATGGGTGTGAGTAAGATGGCAAAAAGTGACACCCTTGCAGTTCTCTGGTACAAACCTGGGCATCTCTTATTTTTTCGAAATAATGATTTTTAAGCGGTGGGCAAACGATTTTTTCTGCAGGTAAATATGATTAAAAATTAAAAGTCAAATATTTTTTTAAAAGTATTAATTTTTCAAAATTTTGAAAGATGGGCAAACGTGGGTGAACAATTCTCTTGCGATTTAAAAAAAATTCAAAAAAGTCAACTTTTGTTTTCGAAACATTTTGAAGATTCCGTATTTTTGAAACTAAGGGTGGGCAAAAAAATGAAAAAGTGGGCAAACAAGGTTAGGCTAATCAATTTTCAAAAACTGGAAATATGCCGTGTAGAAGCATTCTTATAAATTATCAATGTTAAAGTTTTATGCCCACTTCATTTTATAATTTTTATAGTTCTTATGTTTTGATTTTAATGTTTTCCCAAACGAACGCTCTCCTCCCAAACGGATTTCGTCGATCTAAGTACTTGTCCTAAATATTGACATATACTAAGCAAATACGCAAAATTGTAACCATTTAAAATATTTTTGACGAAAAATATGACACCCCAATCTGCACGACATTTAAACAGTTCTAGTTAAGTACAGTTGCATGTAATGTGGGTTAGTACAAATTTGTATTTTATTCAAGTATCTATTTGATTTGTATTATTAAATACTTACTTAAATATAAATACATTTTATATGAATAGGTTTTTGGCTTACTTCTAAAATGGTATTTAAACTCATTGTTGCATATATATACATTTGTATGTATGTTCTTCCCTTCGTAGATTCTTACGTATTTGCCTTCCGGATTAGCTAGCCTCGGCAACATCCCGTTCCTCTTATAAATCCATTTAATTACATTTACGTTTCGTATAATGAAATAGCCTATAACACTTAAAAATACTATGACATATACATATATTAGTACATATATATGTCTTTATTATTTAAGGTAAGGTTAAATATATTTTACAAGCTACCAAATAAATTATGTTCATTAGTTTTTTTTAACGTAAAAAGCGTTTTTGGGTCTCGCCGCGTGTTTCACAAAGCCTACAGAAAAGCTGGAGAAAGTGCCATGCCTAGTTTTTAGTACTATTGATGGAGGTTCGTTGGTCCAACCCTCAATGTCTCTGAGGAGAAAAAAGAGTGTTCCTTGATGGATCTTGGGCTTGTGAAGGCAACTGGTAATAGTATCCTTCAGGAAATTGCTGAGCAGAGTATGCTCCTGTCTGATAGTGCGAAAGCAGACTGTGCTTTGCCGGCTTCGCTAGGTTGCTCATCGCCTTGGCATTTGCACCAGTTGGTCTTATCTATAACCCACCGATGATCACCTCCTGTTGGGCTTCGTCATCCATGTCGGGGATCTCTTGCTTGTGCACAATTATTCCATCACTACTGGTCTGACGAGGCGCCGTTTGTCCGTACTTTTGGTGTATACCGCGGTGGCGTTTAAGCGCGAATCGATCAGCAAACGCCGCAGAACAGATCTCGCACTTGTAGGGCTTCTCCCCTGAGTGGACCTTGGCATGGTTCTTTAGGTGGGCCGCCTGAGAGAAGGCAGACCCGCAAATTTCACACTTGTACGGCTTCTCGCCCGTGTGGATGCGCCTATGATTCCAAAGTGTAGCGTGGCGAGCAAATCCTTTGTCGCACACCCCGCACACGTAGGGACGTTCGCCGCTGTGCGTGCGTTCGTGGTTCTTTAAGTGTGGCGACTGTGAGAACTGCATACCGCAGGTTTGACATCTGTATAAGGAAAAAACATTAATTAGGAAAATTGAATCAAGATAAAAAGATCGCCATTACTTATAAGGCTTTTCGCCCGTGTGGATGCGCGCGTGATTTTTTAAATAAACGGCCTTGGCGAAGGCCAGTCCACAGATGCTGCACTTGTAGTTTTTTTCGCCGCTGTGGAGCTTTTTGTGTGACCACAGACTTGAGTAACGTGAGAAAAGGCCACCACATATATTGCAACTAAAGGGTTTCGACGGATTCCTGCAGGACGAACACCTTGGTTTTGTTAGCGTAGGATTGGTTAGCACTAAGATCTTATACTCACTCCGTTTTGACAGTGACCGATTGCTTTACCGTTCCGCCCCCACCACTTTGTCCGGCGTGAGAGTGCTGCCCTACCAGCACCACTCCAGAGCCATTGCACTTCTGGCACTTGGTCATCTGCTGGGAATTTCGTTTTTTCACTGGGTGATGGACAGGCCCACTGCTGGTCTCCCGCTTGGGAGTCGTGTCGCCTGTCTGCGCGGCTACAATTTGCTGCAGTTGTGCCTGGGCCTGAGGGGTGGTTGATATGATCTGGACGGGATGTGCCATTTGACCTGTACAAGAGTAAGTTCGTATCTTTTCACATTTTAAAGTTTAACTTTACAATTACCTTCCTGCGCCACGAAAAGCTGCTGTTGTTGCTGCGCCGTCTGTTCTGCCTGCATGCAGGACTCACAACGCACCTGCTTTGGACCTTTGCGTTTGGACTGCTGCAGTATGGGGCTACCGCAATTAATGCACTTATTTGCTTTGGAGTCGTGCTGTTGCATTACAGATTGTTGCACCGGCTCCAAAGCGTCCGACGACACTATCTGTATCTGCCCCATCTGGCCATTGCCAATGATGTTCTGCGCTTGCACCAAGCCCTGGGCGCTGACGACGGCTATTGAATCGCTGGCCCCCTGCTGGGTGTTGTGCTGATGTTGCTGCTGTTGCTCCCCATCTGTATGCATACGCTTGTGGGAGTTGAGCAGCGCTAGGTGGGGGAACATATCCGAGCAAACATCACATTTGAAGCTGATGTTGGATATGGTGTTCTGCAATGAGAAGGGTTTTATGCTTTGGCGAACTCCACAATTCTCGTACTATTATTACTTACTGCTGCAATAGGCTTGTTCTGATTGACGATCTGGATGCGGCCTTGAGCGTCTACAGTGGCGATGCCAAGCGCTGCGCCCTGGTTGAGCGGCATCCCATTTACCAGGGCGTAGTTGTAGCCGCCCACTGGCTGAGCTATGTAGCACGTCTTGTTGTCATCTGTGGTGGCCAACTGGGCAAGATTGACGGTGCCGCCATTACCCTACGTGAGGTCAAATATGAGGGGTAAAAGTGCCATCGGAAATAGTTAGCACTTACATTTGTCGTGTAGTAGAAGGTCGGTTGCTGCTCCGCCTTTTGACCCTCAATTTTAGGCTGTTTAAGGATGGTGCCATCTGCCGTCTGGTACTGAATTGTGGCAGGTTGCCCATTAATAGCATTTGTGAAGATAATGTTTTTGGTGAGGTCTTCCATCGTGCCTGCAAGCCACTTTAACGTAATGTTGTATTTTAAATTAAAAATTTTGCCTTTTTATTATTTTATACCCGCTGCGACGCGGTTTTCAACACTGAAACACGCGACACCAATTCTACCGAGTGTGCGAGCGAGATGAATGTAATCAACTCATGAAAAAACGACTTATTAAAAATGGCGACGATGAGACAAAAAATATGTATGCGACATTGAATTTATTCAAAAAAAGACAGCAGAACTTCTCCGTTATATCAGTCCTAAGCATATTTATTCATAAGATATCAAATTTTGTTATACGAGTTTTTTTCTGCTATTTTTGGCTTTAACCATTACCTTTTACGCAACCAGGGCACAAAAAAATAGTTGTTGGCTGCGTCTTACAACGCCCAGGCAACAATTTTTGCGTTACTTTGAAATATTGAATATTCTTTGCCAACGTGTTTATATGTGCACTTCTGTTTTGTTTGGAATGAAAGCAAACTATTTATTATTGTTTTTTCTTTCTCTAACAAATTCCAGCACTATAACATTAGCCCGTTCCTTCTTACGCTAGCTGAAGAGAGACGGAAAGAGAACAACGCCGAGAGAGAGCAGTCGAGCAGCAGTTGCAATGTGTACAAGTATGACCGCTTTTTAAATTGACGGTATATAATACCAATCTGCTATACACGTCAAAATAGCGTCGGGTGGTTAATGACGAAAAAGGAACAGTGAAATGTAGAACAAGGGGTTTTTAATTTAATATATGTTTGCAATTACATTAATAAACCCCTCCCATAGAGTCCATCCGTTCGAAACGGTTGAGATTTTTGACAAATGTTAAACTCCAATTCCCACAAAGCACATCCACCATACACCATCCTATAACATCTGATCTGAACAGCTGTTGTTAATCATAATAGACTGTTGCAATGTTGACTTTAGCTTCTAGGTATATGTATTCTAGCTCTGTATTAAGAACAAGAAAGCATATTCTTCTTTCGATTTCGTTTTGGGATGACCTCTTATTTGGAGGCGAGTGAAAATGTTACCTTTTTGGTTAAATATGTTTGGCGGCGCCCTAATACAGAGCTTAAAAACAAACTCTAAAAAACTACAGTCAAGCATGGCAGCTTCTGGGGGGCAACCTCGTTTTTATTGACGGGATACTCCATCGATTTCAGTATTACCAAGATATCGACCGCAAGCACTTCGCTGGAATTGTCAATACTTGGCTAATATAGAACTGCCCCAACGTAATCAAGACGCCAGCAAAATCATCGGATCTCAATCTTATAGAAAATTTGTGGGAAATTTTGAACCAAACGATTCGGAAAAGAAAGATGTCCAATAAAAATTACTTCAAAAGTGCCTAAACGGGGAATTGGACAAAATTTCCGTAGAAATAAGCTTTGGGGTACCAATTAGACCATTTTTATTGAATTATTGGTTTGCTTTAATATTTAAGAGTATGGTTTTTTGTCCCTTTAATAAATTAAGTGTTTATCTAAAATACTGCGTTTAAATTTTGGAATATCCTTGCTGGTTAAGGAGCAGTATCGATTTGAAATTTCAGTTTATTCTTGTACGAAATAAGCTTTAAGCCACAGTATTTCTGACGCCATCCAAATCTTTTTGCGTCCTTAAGCCTAGTACTCAGATCGGCAAACTAGTCCTCTAGCGTAAAAACTTGAATCTTTCTAGTGTGACGAAAATTTCGAGAGTTCATCAGAATTAAGCGTGCTACGGTCTTACTGTCAATCAGCTGGGTTTGTTGAAAGGGCCTTTAAAAGATATTATCAACTACCTTGGCAAGACCAGTCTGCCGCCGTCCAAAGAAATTAAAAAACAATACAATTTAAATTTAACATTTTTTTTTAATTTACTGATAATTATTTGTTAATTTAATGTTCATAGCTGCACTTTTATTGTGTTTTTTCGTACATTTTTGACCTAAGAAACATTTTGCTCTGACAAGAGGCACCCCAGATAGTATTAATGTTATTTTGTCCCCACATGTAAACTCCTGCAATCGACTTTTGCGGGTATTTTGATTTTTTCACTCTGTTTTTTGAAATGTTCAGTGAAAAGCGCACGCCTAAGATTACATTTTTAATCTTTTCGCTAGGGTTCACCCAACGTTAATTTCCGCAGACTGGCAACACTATGCAATTATCTGGTATTTTTTTCGTCCATCTGAGGACCGAGGTGAAAAAAGCCTTGACGAAAAGTGTACGCCAACTGTTTGACTCTCGCTCTCTCTCATGACTGGCGTAAAGTTTTCGGCGATCTGAATTCGGTGAAAAATCGGTCATTTTTTAAATTGGCGATACGGATAGTCTCAGCTCAATTTTGTTTTTTGCATGTGATTGGGCAACATTTAAAAAATATGTGTGATTTTTTTATTCCAAAAATATTAAAAATTGACTGAGATACAGGCAATCTCCGGCGGCGCCTCGAAGAAAAGATGTTTTGCGGTGCACACGATAACCGGTCACAGAATCATCTGAAATGCAAAAATCCAATTGCATTAATTAAAGAACAAGACTCCTCAGGTAACGCTGTCGAGTTTTTATTATTTTTTTTTTTGATATTTTAAGGCACTTGAAAGTCAAAAACAGCGATTTTCGCCTAAAACGTCGAGATATTTGTTGCTCTAAAAATAATAAATTTTCAAAAAAACAACTCGACAGCGTTACCTGAGGAATATAGTTGAGAACAACTGTGCAAAATTTCAAAACGATCGTGTACACCGACTTTGAAAAGGGTAACTTTTCAGGAGAGCGTTTTAAAGTTTTGGAAACCCATGTTACGAACTGCTTTTTTTGTCCTTTGGCAGTGCCGCTAGCTCAGTCTTCTCTCCGGGCGGATTCCCCCTAATGCCACAGCCCGCAACATAAACGTTGATGACTACACTGTCTCACATCACAAATTAATCGCTCATCACTAACAAACAACACAAACAAAAGGTAAACAACGTAAATAATTATAGATGACGGGAAAAATATGGTGTTTTGGTGGCTATCGATGACCTAGCCAAGCACGCCCACCCAACCAAGGATGCCCCGGAGGATTCTGCGGAAGCATCACCCAATATCAGTTGGTCGAAGTCACTCCTCGCGACTAAGACAGCCCCATCTCCCCCACAGCGACAACTCACTCGCACCGTAAGTACTAAAGTTAACATAAATGGCTCTCCTAGTAATTAATTCATCTTTTCTTAGGCCACCGTCTTCGGATTTACGCGGTCAAAGCAGAAGATTACCTTCCCTTGGAAAAGGCTACAGGCGCCGCGGAAATAATGTTCCACCAGACACGTATTGGTGGAACTCGCGGTGAACGAGGCGCTCAAAAAAAGGGCGCAAACTATGTATGTGTCGGGTCACCTAATCCTGAGAAGCTCCTAGGGAAAAGAAGGGACAGGCCAAACGGTAAGTAGTATACGCTGTAAACAATCCCGCCGAAAACTAATAATCGCGACCCTTATTTACAGGCAACAACGAGGACAAATTGAGGTTTTCGGGTCTAAGTCCGGATAAATTCACAGGTCAACAGATAGGTATATAAATTTAGTAACATGCACATTTAATTTAACATTTATAATTTTCAGCCACTTGTAGGCTAGGCACCGGCAGTGGCGGGTCGCCGAAGGACAACTCGGGACCCTTATAAAGGGACGTGGCGGTCCGGAAACCGGTATTACGCCGTGCCTCGGCCACTGCAGACCGTGACGTCCGAGATGCCGCGTGGTAGGGGAGTCGCGTCGTGGTCGCGACGTTGTGCTGCTCGGGTTATATGGGCCGGAACGGACTCACCGAGGTAAAGTTGAATTTTTTTGTGGTTAAATAACCTAACCGCCTGCGGCGGTGTCGGTTGGTGGTGATGGCTGTTACTGTACCTGTGTCAGTGGCTGTTGCTACTGCTGCTGCTACTACTACTACCGCCGCCTGTTGCTGATGCTGCTACTGGTGGTGCTACTCCCACGAGGGCTGCTGCCCTTCCTCCGAGAGAAAAACTTCGAAAAACGACGAACATCAAAGAAAACTGCCGGGCCCTATGTACTAGGGTCCCCGGTGGACCTAAAATAAATAAATATCTACTTAATTTCCACACGACACTAGCACTTTTCGCACCCTTACTTTTTTTTGTATCAAACTAAAAACAAAAAAAATGCAAAGAACTCCGTCTACATTGCTTTGGTCTCCGGCAGCAACTAAACCCTATTCCTGACCTACGCAATGTCATGCCCATCACGCCATATTCCCTTTCCCTCTCCCAAAAGTGGGTCAATGGACGAATCCAAGGCTATCCTAGCCATACCCAGAGCGAACCGGGCTAGTTTAAATAGCTAGATAGCCAAGGGCATGAGCAGAAGGGGGCGCCACTAAAACCATCGCTCTATCATCCTAACCTATCGATAGAGTCCATTCCATTATCGACTCCAACTGCAACACCCATACAAAACAAACTAACTTACCTACGTTCAACAGCCCATAAGTTCGGAAGCTTTACTCGGATCGATCTAAAACTTTAACACAATATTCTCAAGATGTTGTGCATTCAAAAAAAAAGGGAAAAAAATTGCAAAAAAAAAACATTTAGTACTATACTATAAGCAAGTATGAGCAAAAGTTGTTAACTTTATTATGTTATGGTATGGTTAATTCGGCCAATCTGACACTAGTCAGATTAATTATTTTATAAGCGTATCAAAGTACAACATTTAATCTATGTTTTCACAAATTTTCATCGAAAAAAAAAAATTGGCCGTTTTGCGGTGAACTGCTTATCTCGTTACTAGATCATCAGAAAAAATTAAAAAAAATTGTTTATTAGGCAAGGTATGCGTAAAAGAGTAAGAATTGGAAAAATGTATGTCAATAGCTTATACACTGCGCGAAAAATCCTGAAAAACATAAAATTTGACCGATTTCACCCTAATTTTCTTATGTCAGCTATAGTATATAAACGTCTGATCGGTACGCCCATTTACCCTGTTAAAGGTATGCATAAAAAATTAAGATTTGGCAAGATTTATGTCAATAGCTTGTATACTGCGCGAAATATCCTGAAATTGATAAAATTTTAAGCGATTTCACCCAATCTTCCTATGGGAGCTATATGATATAGACGTCCGATCGGTACGCGCTTTTACCCTGATCAAGGTATGCATAAAAAAATAAGATTTGGAAAGATTTATGTCAATAGCATTAACACTGCGCGAAATATCTTCCATTCTTGCAAGTTATATCCGATTGTTCACATGGGAGCTATAGGATATAGACATCCGATCGGCGGTTTTCAAACTTTATCATCGTTTTAGGACGACTGTGAAAGATTCAGATCGCTAGCTTTTAAATTGAGCTCGCAAACGGTATTGAAAGAGACGGTCGGACGGACGGACAGACGGACGGACGAACGTACAGACGGACATGGCTATATCGACTCCCCTATTGATCCTGATCAAGAATATATATACTTTATGGGGTCGGAATCGTCTTCTTCACTGCGTTACAAACTTCTGACCAACATTATAATACCCTCTGCCAGGGTATACAAATCATGAATAATATATATATATATATTTTTTTTTAAATTGCTTTGCTATTTATTTATTGAA